GCTGTGTGGACTTCAACTCCCAGAATTCCCCTGGCTGGGGAATGAAGTCCACAAAGCTTAAAGTTGCCAAGGTTGAGAAACACTGTGCTAAAGTATTTTAGACAAATGGTTATCCAGACTGTTTCAAGTCTCAACACACCTGAAGGTCACCAGATGGAGAAGGCAGGCTGTCCAGGTTCATTCTCCTGAAATGGGGATATAATTCACTTGTCTCGAACTTTTATTTATTTATTTTTTCTGTTTCAGCTGGCAGCACTGGGGCTGCACCAATGGCCATTCCAGGTGAGACTGTGTTATATGGAGATATGTATAGAGTTTAATGGCACTTCCATATCTGGCATTTGTGCTGATCTAGCATCACTGCCATCCCCTTCCTGCTCTGTTCCCCACAACATCATTCTTCAGACATCTGATTTTCTTCCTGCTTGGCAACTAAAACAGCAAACTTTCCATTTTAACATTTGCAACCTGGAACTCGCTAGTCATGATGGAGGTGGGGGTGAATTTGCCATTTGCTGTTTCTGGGAACTCTTGTCTCCCTGCTTCCTCTCCACCTGCTTTAAAGCTCTTTATTAGACTTCACAGGCAACTTTGATCAATAAATTCCATGTTAAGACCTTCTGCCAATCCTGAAGAAAATCTACCTACGTAATGACTAAGAGTCAACACAATCTGATGTTACATAATCAATCAATCATCAATCATCAATCAATCACCTTTTGTCAATTTCTAATCTGAAGAATGTACTGTATGGATTGTCACTGAAAGCACAGGAATTTGGATCAAATGAATAAATGCTAGTTTAACTATGTAAGTGCCAATTAGGAAATAGTTACAGTAATTCAAACTGAAATACATCTCAGGGAGGACTGTAAACAGTTGTCTTGTGTAGTTAAAGCTCAACCTGGTAACCAGGTGTTTAAAATTGCCTTCTGATGGTTCTTTATCTTGAAACTGGGCTCAGAATGGAAAACTCTTCAAACGGAAAGCAATCTTCTGTAACATAGGGGCTATGATTACCTTAGTGAGAATTGACCCTTAGCAAGAAGGTGATGGTTCATTGCATCTGAGCCCAACTAATTCATAATGGACACAATGTACACCTAAAGTTAGCAGGCACCATGTCAGTGTCGGCAATAACAGCTGGACATAAAACAGGAGCCAATGATCCTCCTTAGTTGCATATCCCAAAAGTTCCCTTTGAGGATTTTTGTACTTTAAGCTGTGGTTGGGCACAAGAACAAGCTAAGTGTATTTTCCTCCTAGTTGACAATTGCCATCACTTGAGGTTGGGCAATTGTAGAGGCCCAGACCCAAGGCCAGCTGAGAAAATGCTTTGAGTGACATTGAATGTAGGAAATCATCAGGTTGAAACTGGAAACCAAGGACTAGAAACCATATGTGAAAGTAAGGAATCAGAGGTGCAAGATGAGAACCAGAGAACATTACTGAGAATTATAACACAGCAGGTTATAACTGAGAACAGATGGTGCCCAGTCTGGATGGATGAGCCAGGCCAGAGAAACCATTGCTTAGAGAAATACTCAGCCTGTAGCCCTGATAGTTCACCAGAAGAAATAGTGATCCACAGAGCTTGGGGTTGATGGTTTTAATCCTAGCAGCCATCATAATTCTTTCCTTTGGTGGGCTGTGTCTGAGTTTGCATATTTAATGGACCATAGCTATACTCCAGAGACCTTTTCATTTTAGCATATTTGCTTTCCCTTAGTCCAAGGGTGCACAGCATGATGCCTCACGATGGAATATAGCCCTTCATATTCTTGAATGACAGCCCTGAAAGATTTGAATGGATGTCTCAAAAGCCAAGACCCGCTCCCAGTGTAACTAGTTGAATGGAACAAAAAGGGGGAAATCTTCAGTATGCAGAGAATAATTAGATTAACTGTATTTAATGAGTAGGGCTGTGCAAAATATTCTGCCACAGAATATTCCAACCCTGCAATGAGCTTGTTCTGAGGTCCAGCTACTTTCAGAATACTCAGAATGGCCCATTTTGAGACTGGGAAGTTCCACAGTGGAATTTTTTTCCCCATGCTTTAATTATTCTTATTTAAGAATAAATTATTTAAATTAAATCAAATATAATTTTTGTCCTGGCCCCACTCACTTCTTTATGCTGAACCAGGGCACCTTTTGGACTTTGAACTCCAGTATGTAAAATTAGCCCCAGATGATTTGCCTAGCCCTATCTTAGTTGCTCTCCAGCCGTAATGCAGCTGTTCCTCCCCCACTGAAGCCATTCTTCTTGAGTTGTTCAGAACAGTGGAGCTGCCCTCTTTCTTCCAGAGGTACGGCTAGTCAACGGACGCACCCGGTGCCAGGGACGTGTGGAGATCTTCTACAACAATACCTGGGGCACAGTGTGTGACGACGACTGGGACATTGTGGATGCCAATGTGGTGTGCCGCCAACTCGGTTGTAGCCATGCCATCGCCATGCCACCGACCCTTTCCTTTGGCAGAGGGCACGGGCCCATTTTTCTAGACAATGTGGACTGCAAAGGCAGAGAGGCAGCCCTCAGTGAGTGCAGCAGCCATGGATGGGGCATCCACAACTGCTACCACTATGAAGATGTGGCCGTCACGTGTAATGGTACAAAGGTTTGGGCCTGATGGATTGCAGTGGTGGTGGGGAAGGGATGGGTGTTAAAGTGGACCCTTCAAGTCAACCTGATTTGTTTATTGATTGAACATTTGTGGCATGTCTAAACTAACTTTCCTTCAGGAGATCATGGTGCTACATGTAGTGTTCTCCCCTTTTTGAAACCTCACAGACAATCTGAAAGGACCAGAATCTTAGGATGAGAAATAAGCATCAGCCCAAAGTTCATAGTCGAGCAAGATTTGAGTCCTCTCTTCTGTCTTCATCTGATTCTGCAAAAAGAGTTGCAACACGTGTGGTCCAGAGGCCACCTACAGCCCACAAACTTCCCTTCTGGGGTTCCTAAAGCCACCCAGAGTGGGTGTAATTTAGTAGACATGCAATCATTACCTAATTTAAAAAAAAAAAAAAGCCCAGAAATTACTACGAGAAGATTATTCAAGTCATGTTTGAAAGCCAGAACTGGTGGAGGCAGTTATATATCCCTTGAACGGGAATACCACTGTCACCATCAGAAATGCCATGCGTTGCACCAAGCCATAATGTGGATTTGATTTTGGCTTAGTGTATTACATGAATCTGGTCTGCCTCTTTAAACTAGATCCTCAACAGATAATCCTCTGTTCGTTTCAAGGCTGGAAGTGGCGGGGAGAGCATGTGCTGTCAACTTTGTACTCTTTGGCCAGTCAAAAGCTTGACGATTTCACCATTTCTGCAGTTTCAGGGAATCAGTAAACAAGAAATCTGTTGGCCCATCACTGGCTGGAATGCTGTATTTTCCTTACCACCTCATGAAAGGGAATGCTCCGAACTAGGACTTGCACCCTCATTCAAGAATCAGCAGGAGTCTGGGAGCATATGTCCCAAGTATCAAATGTTATTAAAAGGCATATGGGAAGCATATGCCTTTTAATAAAATTTGTTAGTCAGAAAAGGTGCTACCAGCCTCTTGATTTTGGCTACTGTAGACTGACACGGCTCTCCTCCTACCATGTCCTCATTAAAGAAAATACAGCTGGCTCTGCCTGGTCTTTCATCAATTAATGGATAAGAAAAAAAGATGAAGCCTTGATTAAAAGGGTGGATGAGTAACAGTAGCTTTAGTAGCAAAGGAGAATCCTATGTTCAGAACATTTTGAAACAGCTGCTTGGAGCAGATCAGGAGCAGATGTGGTACAAAAGGAGATCAGAACACACTAAACTGATCAGGACAGCTGACATTGTACAGGGTGGGCAACTTTTGAGGGGCACAGTTGGTTGGAATGATTGCACGGAAAGAGAAACACTGACGTTAGGGGTATAACTTTTGTACGAAAATATTCTCCAGGGTGATGCTTGTGGGAAAGAAACAATGGTAAGCTTTTTTTAGGAAATACCATGGCAACAGGGAAAGCCAGTTTGATGTAGCGATTAAGGCACCAGGCTAGAAACCAGGAGACCATGAGTTCTAGTTCTGCCTTAGGTGCAAAGCTGGCTGGGTGACCTTGGGCCTGTCACTCTCTCCCAGCCCTGGGAAGGAGGCAATAGCAAACTACTTCTGAAAAACCTTGCCAAGAAAACTGCAGGGACCCATCCAGGCAGTTGCCAGAAGTCAAAAACTGACTTAAAGGCAGCATGTGTGTACACACACACACAAGGTGATAGGACAACCTGAATTACTGTTTACAGCTAAACGTCTGTAGGGTGCTCTCCTCCCTTTTATAAGTACAGTATCTGATCTGCACAGGTCAGAGATAGAAGAGAAAGGATTGAACTGGGAGAAGAGGGAAGTGATGAAAGTCCTAAGGATAGGAGGTAGGTTACATAGAGACATGCAAAGTAAGTCTTTCAGACAAGGAAAGGAATTCAAAATGCAGAGTCCTTCTATAGCTATTGCCCCTGACGGTCACTAGCAGCATGCAAAGTTTGGTTCCAACACAATTCTGCCTCCCATTCTTCTGAATGGCTGCAAGAGGCCAACAGTTGACTCAATTACATCTGGCTGAATCTTTTTTTGCCTTCCCTGTTTTGCTTTTTTATGGTGTTTACCATTGGGGATAGGAGCAGGATAGCTCACAGTCAATCTGCACCCATTCCCCACCACTCCTGAAAAAGAGATCAGTATTGCATTGTATTTTAGTGGTGCGATCTGGGGAGTGAGGGGTGGGGGGAGATAGAAATGAGAGGCTGGAGCATGTGGGCAAGGGTTGCTCACTCTAGTTTAGAAGGAGGACTGGGAGAAGCCTTAGTTGCATGGTTGCTAGGCAACATGAAAACAGAACTGCTATTTAGTTCTGTGACCTGAGTGACTGTGGCTATGGAGGCTTTAAAGGGCAAGTGCCTCTTTGGTTTATCCTTTGATGGGGCACTTTTTTATTGCTAATTTAATCCCCTTTTCTTGAAGTAAGTAAGGTGCAAAGGGACATTTTAACTTCTCTTAAGCACTGCTGGAAGCAGTGTCTCTTCCATTTAGCTGAAAACTCCTTTTGATTATTGTATGAAGGGGTGTTGCTTCATGCCATCCACTCTAGTCCTCCAGGATGCTCTCTATCATCTACACTTACCTTTGACATATTTTTAGATCAAGCAAGAGACATTAATGGAAACGAGGAAGATGCGTGGCATGTGGCTTTGCTTTACAATATGCAAGCCTCCCGCTGAATTATCCCTTCTAATGCTATGCTTTAATTAAAGGAGATGATGATTTCGATTGTAAAAAGGCCAAAGCGGCAATACAACTGTAGAGCAAGAGCTGCATTTGGCCCCAGAGTACCCTGCCTGGGGACTACTAATTGGATCCAAGGCGTAGAAGTAGCTAGGCCTCTGGCAAAAACTTTGATTTTATTTAAATATTAAATTAGGTTAATGTAATCTAAATTACGTGGCCTTAATTTGGTCCTTTGGTAATATTAATCATTATAATTTGGAAGCATTTTTTAGAGGGCACTGTGGGGTCCCCCAACATTTGACTGACAGAGCATATGCAGCCCTGTAGACTCAGTTTTGGGGGCCCTGGACTGCAGGGGATGTTTTGGAGAATTGACCACAGCAGGATTAATTTTTTTTCAGGGAGGAGGAAGAGGACAGATGGGGAGCCTGGTGCCACCATGAGATGTATCTCCAGGCAATGTGTGACATGAGCATCACATTGTCTACCCTTGAGATACCGGATATGTCAGTTGAGAGTCTGGATGTCACCAGAATAAACAGTAATAGTAACATTGCCTATGGATGAAATACTATTTCTAAGGGGAGCATGTAACTGAACTTCTTTTTTCCAGGTTTTTTAAAAAAATATCAATCTTCCTCAGCTGGTGTCTTTCAGATGTACCAAGGCTACAGGTTCTCGGAATCCTAACACATCTGGAGGCACAAGTTTGGGAAGGCTGGTTAAATCCATCAAGTTGGCCAACTATAATTTAAAATAGAAATTATAGGGCCTTGCATGTACAGAGGAGATGTGGGAGCGGCACATGGACATGATGTTGGTATAGTGATTCTATAGTTTTCCTGACCTTCATGCGTCAGTTTTATCTGTCTTTTCAGAACTGCTACCCACACAATCAGCAAAAGGCCCCGCCAGCAAAACGATCACAGTCTCATTACAAGATAGGAAAAGTAAGTGCTTTCTAGATTTACTTAAGAAATCATCTTTAGCTTGCTCACTTATTTATTTTTGCAAGTGTATACATGGAAAAGGAAGGAACAGGATATCTGTCTCAAGGGCCTTATAATCTAACAGGCAGCATATGGCAGACAGCATTGGAAAGGGAGGAAAATAGAAGCCAGGGAGAAATATTCATTTATTTCAGATATATCTACTTAGGCTCAGATAGAGCGGTGTCTGGTAGCTATAATAACTTTTTCCTGCAAGTACTAAATAGCCATTGCAATTCTCTGCCTTGTTTATGGAATTTTAAAGCACGGGGTGAAAGAGTTCAGATGATCATGTCTTCCATTCGCTGCTACTGCCGTTTTTTTTTCTTATCAGAAAAATACAACCGTGGCAGAGGAGAAAATTGAAAGGTTGCGTAATGGTGGCCTCATGCAGTGGGGGTTATTTCGGGCAAGGCTTCTTGTTTTTTTAAGTAGGCATCTCTACCTCTTTTCTAAGAAGAACTCATTGTCACTCTCAAGAGTAATAAACATAGCAAGGCAGGTTGTTACTGTGATCCTCTGGTCTCTTTCAGGCGATGGCAGAATCCGGCTGGTGAATGGGGCTAACTCCTGCCAAGGCCGCGTGGAGATATTCTACAAAGGAAACTGGGGCACTGTGTGTGATGATGAATGGGAGCTTCAGGACGCCAGTGTGGTATGCAAGCAGATGGACTGTGGCCATGCTGTAGCCCACAGGACCAATGCCTACTTTGGCTATGGCACAGGGCGCATCCTCCTAGACAATGTGAATTGCGATGGGAACGAGCCACATCTCTCAGCCTGCTTCAGCCTTGGCTGGGGCATCCATAACTGTGGTCACCATGAGGATGCTGGGGTCATCTGCTCTGGTGAGCAACTTGGAAAAGACATTTCAGCCATCTAGGCAAGGCAGGCTCTCTGTAGGTGTACAGATATTTTGAACTTTAGCACTATAAAGAAGGGGTGTGCAAACGGTCAACATGACCCAAGCTTGGAAGATCCTGTCCTCTTCTTCGAATGGCTGTTGTAAATGTACTACAAGTGGCCTGATCTTGAAGCAGGATATTCCAACCTTAGAACTGCTGTTTTGAATTAAAACAGGATGTTTCAAGGTCAGATAGGCCTTAGCCTTATTGAAATGTTTTGGCGGGACTGGGGGAAGAGAATAGGCCATAGCCAATGGAAGCTGAAATAGGAAAGTAAGTAGATTTCAATTCTGTTTTTTATACATCTCAAAATGTCCAATGACGTGCTGAGGGTTTAACTAGTTTTAACTAGTTAATGAGCCACAAGAATAGATTAAAATGACAGCAAGTGTGTCCTTCAGAACTTTTCTTTGTTCTTTAAGATATCATGTGAATGCAGCCTTAGTGTAAGGGGAAAGTAGAAGAGAATATAGGTAGCTCAGGGTTGAACTGTGGAGTCTTTGGGGTTCTCTGAGCTTGGTTGTTTGCTTGCAGACATTTCATTACCTGACTAGGTAACATCATCAGTGCTAGCGAGGGTCAGGTTTGCTCCCTGTTTATATACAGTAGCTTGCCCTGCTAGGCAATTCCTAGAAGCTTGGCATTCAGACAAATCAGCCATCAATAGACACAATTTTCTGGCTTCACTTGCACACTGAACCATGCATTGATCACACAGCTGGATTCACCCAACTTGCTAGGCTAAGATGTGGTTAGTTAATTTGTGTAATCTTGTTAGGCATACAGAGGATTGTACTATAAGATTTCCAGAGGCTAGGTTCAAGGACACAAAGCTTCAGGATCTTCATTGCCTTTTTACTTATTGTTAGAATTATTAGAAATAATTGCAGTACCCATCAATTGCTTTTCATTTAATATTTTAATGGGCAAAATACAGTACATACAGTTTACCAGAAAGGATTGATGGAATTAAGTTCCCAGCAGACAACTAGCTGAAAATGTGTTACTGGCACATTGACTTGACATGGCCAACCTTTCTTGCTGTTGTGTCTCTCCAGGGCTAGGGATAAAAACAACCATTTTGCCAATCACCACATCAGTGGTACAGGACTACAAAGAATCATACACCGATACAGTCACGGGTAAGAGGGTGCATGTTGTCTATAATTTCACTCTCCATAAGTCACAGAATTGGAGGGGAGGGAATGTGAGCTAAATCAGACTCTTCTAATGTGGCTGTCATGTCTTCCCATGCTGGGGGAAGACGTTTTAGAGCAACATATCTGGAGGGCAACATACTGAGGAAGACTACCAAGGTAGGCCAGATGCTACCAGTGATGTACTGAAAAAGGGAGTAGGTTGATTGCAGGAAGGCTAAATCTTGGGGCCAGGGCCACGTTTGGCCTCTGAGCAGACTGCCAAAGGCCACATTCCAAGAAGTAATAGGATCCGGGGGTGTCTGCAGGGTTCGGTTAAAAAAGTTGGTGGCTTTGACAATATAGTCATGGCTGCCATCTTGACTTTTTTACCCACCCACCCTCCAATATCCCCACAGATGCCCCTGATAGATCAAGAAATAGGTAAGACTTAGGGAAAACCTAAATTTTATCTTCATAGTTTAATTTAAATTATTCTTAATTTTACCCTTTGGAAACATTAACAGTTACAATTTAGGGGCAATTTGGAAGGCACTGTGGGCCTCCCCCCAAGTTTTGGATGACAGTGCATGTAGCTCTGTGGCTTCAGTGTTTGGGCCTCTAGGCTAGAGGGTCAGGGGTATTTATTTTGCTTTGGAGAAGTATCCACATCAGGGTTATCATTTTTTCAGGGAGGGCTTTTGAAGAGTTTGATCAAATAGTGGCAAAACTCAGATGCTCTTCTTGAACATTGAGAGCCAACTCCTGGAGCCTATTGAGAACCTGGTGATTTAATCTTTGCTAAGGCAATGCCTGGAAGATTGTGATCAGTTCTGGGCATCGTGATTTCAGAAGAATGCTGACAACTGGAAAGGGCCTAGGATGGGTGATTTGAACTGGTGGGAGATTGAAGGCAAGACTGAAGGAGTTGGGGAATCTTGAGCTTGGAGAAACAATATGTATTTCATTGGATTAATTAACCTGTTCAGATAATAATCAAGAAACTCAATCAATCCCATTGTCAGAAGGTAGGAGCCTGATGGATTTCAACTCAGAGAAAGGGGTTTAAACTCAAGAAAAGGGTTTTTTAAATAACTTCCTAGCAATCCAAACTATTTCATAGTGGATCAGGCTGCCTTGACCACAGGGTCTGGACTCCTTCAGTGTAAGTTTTTAAGCAGAGGCTGGAGGGCTACTGTAGTTGTGGATTTCCTTCATGAGGTTGGAGAGAGGTCAGATTAGATCAGTGTTTCTCAGCCTTGGCGACTTTAAGATATGTGGACTTCAACTCCCAGAATTCCCCAGCTGGGGAATTCTGGGAGTTG